CTTCATTGACAAGACTAAATAAATCATAATGAGCATGAGTACATGTGATTGAAACAGGAAGGAGGAGTGAGTAAAGATCACTAAGATCAGACAATCTTTGTTGTGAGGGTAGATAAATAAAAGTAGGGCCTACAATTACAGGGACATAATTCAACATGTTAATATAAGGACCAACAATCCAGGATTTATTGTTTCCCTTCTGTATATTGATAAAAGCAATCTAATAGTTTAACACCCCATACAAACACACACGAACAAGGGGGGTCAAGAAGTCTTTGGTCTAAATATGAAGGAATAAATATGGAGAAAAAAAACTGGATGAACAATAGCAAATTGATGTTGAATAGTGATAACACAGAAGTCATCTGGCAAGCAGTGCAACGTCGGTTTATGAAGTTTACCACGGACACATGAAAATTAGTAACGCTGAAATTGCATTTTCAAGAAAACTTAAAAATCTTTGTAGATCTATCTATTTTAATTCCAGTTTGTCAATGTCGGCTGAGCTGACAAGCTGCCTGTATTTAGTAATAAGCCCCCCCCCCCACAGTAAATATGTCATCTAGTCAATACTAAGTATATTGCTTTATTAGTAAATAGCTTAGTTTTTATAAAAACTTGATTATTGTAACACCTTGTTATCAGAAATATCACCAGAAAAAATGAAAACACTTCAAAACTGTCCAAAGGAATGTTGCACGCTTAGTGTTATAGGAAAGAATGCAATACTCTGCTACACCGCTTTTACGAATACTGTATTGGCTTCCCTTTGAGCAAAAGAATTATGCAGGCCTACAAGTTGGCCACGCTATTCCACAAATGCTTGAATGATAATGCCTCATCATATTTATCAAATCGATTCGATTTCTACATTTCAACTCGAAGTTTAGGGTAATCAGCTAAGAAAAACAGATTTCTTTTACAATCTATGAAACTTGAAACAATGGGTGAAAGGGCACTTAACTATTAAGGTCCTAAGATCTGAAATGATTTGGCCATTATTTTAAGAGAGATCAAAGTCAGTCCACATTCTGCACCGCACATGGCGCGAGTGACTTTGATATAACCTATGTCTTTACGTTTCACGATACCATAAACAATGAGTTGCCAGTGCTTGGAGCGGGGACGCATCGACGATGATCTGAATCTCACTGGCAGGTGAAAGTATGTAATGGTGAGGAATAGATTATATTCTTCACATTTTTGTAACAGATGAAGACCATTGTCCACACCATGTTTACCTATGACACCTCCCCAGGCACTAGAGTCTGATACTACCCTGGCGTTGTGAGTACTTACACGAACACACACACACACACACACACACACACACACACACACACACACACACACACACACACATACACACACTAGGTCATACAGGCCACTGACCAGTCGTCAGCGTTGACCGTGTCGTTGAAGCCTGGAGTGTCCACTATGGTCAGTTTGAGGCGGACACCCTTCTCCTCTATCTCAAGCTGTTTTTTCTCGATGGATACCGTCCGCTGAATC